TTTAATTTTACTCACGCTCTGATTTAATCAGAGTATTTGATTCCTTTGAGGGCGTGGGATGATATTTTTAAATGCTGCTTTTATTAGCTGCAAGCCAGCCCAGAACCACGAGTTGCACTTTTTTTAAAAAAAAGTGAGAAGATTTCTGGAGTTTTTACACATGGTTTTATGAGTGAACTTTGAATCCAAATTAAACATATCAAAGTTACTTCTCTGTGTGATTCCACACACATATTCAGCATTTCCATAACTTTAATGTTACACGTTTTCTTTCGTTAAATAAAAATATATATGTATTCTGAGATATAGAGTTTGAAGTTGTGCAATTTCTCTGTCCCCCCCCCACCTTAAAAAGATAACAACTGGATTTTTAAAATATAGAGACCACAATGGGCCTAAATGCTCAATTTTTTAAAACAGCCTCAAAATCTTTGGAGAAAACTGTGGCCAGTTGACACTGACAAGTGCTACTGAGAGCAGAAAAGTTCAGAAGAGTCTTGTGAAAACTACTCAGACTAATACATTTATTTTAAAGTACTTTTGTGTAGTTGTAGTGTCACTGAGATTGTTACTACATGCAGCTTTTTAAAAAGATCAAGATATTTATGCTGATTAAGCCATTGTGGTCTACAGTATGTACAGAAAAGGATTCCTAGAACTGAGTATGAGATGCTCTTCTGCTATACAGTGGCTGAAATCCTGTTGCTTAGCATAACACATTGCAGCTAGCGTAGGATCACTGAATGAGTGGAACCTATGGAAGAACTGAATCACCACATCCCCTCTGATTTAATGGCCCTGCTGTTGCTTTGACTTACTACACTAAGCAACAGGAATTTAAGCAGTGGAGTGTCAAGGCAGAGATGGGGAGCTTATTCCAGCCCACAAGCTGCAATCCAGTCTGAGAGCTAAATGCATTCCTACAGTTGGAGAAAAACTGCTTGGGAACATGGCAGGTCTAAAATAAGGTGGGACTATTTCTCATTTCTTACCAATGGCTGTTTTTCCCATCAAAGCCCAAATTGGTTATATGTATGTCTGCTCAGGAGCAGGCTGCAGTAAAACAGCTTTAAAGCAGGTAAACCACACTTAGTTTCCTATGCAACTGCTTCTTGGGCCTTAAATAGTTTTTAATTATTTTATTATTTTTATTTATTTGATTTATACCCCACCCATCTGGTCTAAAAGACCACTCTAGGTGGCTAGAGTGGTCTTTGTTTCCTTAAGTCACTTATCAGAACAAAAAAGATTGTGGGCCAAGTGGACCCCACCACCTAAGAGATCATCATCTCTGTCCTAGCTATGGTAGTGCTTTCTTATAAAATGGGATGATTCCCAGTTCCACTCTTAATGCTGGTTTTTGTTTGCTTGCCAGCCTAAACACTTACAGACATTGTTAGAGCTGATGCCTAATTATCTGACATACGGGGAGGAGCTGCCCCATGAACCTCGTTCTGTGCTCAATGGTCTCATGTATTGGAGAACTGCCCATATGTACCATTTTACTTTCAAATTGTTGGTTCTTTTTCTTTCAGCAATTCCATGAAGAACTTTTCTTCAAAATTATGCATCCCATAAAAACTTCCCTATTTTATCACAGTGGGAAAAAAAACCTAATCCATTTATAGCTTGCTTTTGAAGTCCTATTAATTTGGTGTTGATATGGGCGTTTTCGATTTTGGTGTTAGTATTAATTTAATGTTAATTTTGGTTTGTCATTTGAGCAATGCAAGTTTGGAACTCTAGGTCTAATATTACACAAACAAAATCCAGTTGTTGAAGGAACAATTCCTAGTAGTAGTTTTTCCCTCTTCAAAAGAAAAGCAAAGCAAAAGTGGGCAGTTTACAAGTTTATTATGCAAGCCACACATTGCCCCTGCCCCCAGCGAGTTGGGTACTCATTTTACCGACCTCAGAAGGATAGAAGGCTGAGTCAACCTTGAGCCGGCTACCTGAGATTGAACCCCGGGTCGTGAGCACAGTTTTGGCTGCAGTACAGCAGTTTAACCACTGCACACCAAGAGGCTCTTCAGTCAGTTTTTATTATATTGCAACCACTTTGACATTTTTCTTCAATATTTTGTTAAAATGTTTTGTTTTGCTTTGCTTTGTCCTTTGAGAAACAGTCTGACGTGTTAAAAACGGTAGTAAAAGCAATCTTGGTGGTAGTGGTTGTTATCTCTGTGCAATTAATAACTATTTTTTGTTATTCACTGTTATTAATCATAGATAATTTCTTTGTTTACTCAAAATATTTATTCCAAGTTACATTTTTCCTTTATATAACCTTCCCATATCACCAGTACTTCTTACTTCACATATATCAGTCAGCAACTTTTGTTTAAGTATTTTGAAAATGAGATTTACCTGAAGGAACAAATTACTCTATTGTTAGTTTTCCAGTTGTACATCGTTTATGGAACTCTTGTTAAATTGGTTGTTGTGGGTTTTTCGAGCTCTTTGGCCGTGTTCTGAAGGTTGTTCTTCCTAACGTTTCTCCAGTCTCTGTGGCCATGGGCATCTTCAGAGGACAGCAGAGACTGGCGAAACGTTAGGAAGAACAACCTTCAGAACACGGCCAAAGAGCTCGAAAAACCCACAACAACCATTAGATCTCTGCCGTGAAAGCCTTCGCAAATATCTTGTTAAATTGCTCTTTATCTTCCCAGCAATGCTGGGTAGTGGATGGATATTTTCCCATTTTACCTTTTGAGAGCTGAGTCTTAGAGGAACTGAGAGGAAAGAATTTGTTCTAGGCCAGAATATGAAAAAGCCATTTAAAAAAAAAACCTGGAACTTTCATGTCGCTTTGTAATGATACAGCATCACCAAACTGATTGGCAGACTCTGGGATTTGTAGGCTAGAGAATTTTAAAAAGTTCTCCTCAAGGCTATTCAAGATTGTTTGGCTCTCTAGCATGTTAGTGCAGTTTGTATTCAGATGCAAAGCTTGCTAATTATGGGGAGTGCATGCATGCTTGAAACTAGGGCTGAACTGATTTAGAATTCCTGTGTGGAATAAGAGAGAAATACTTTTCATAGGAATGGCTGACAAAATATCAGAAGTTTTTCTCTGTTTTTTAAAAGATCATTTGTCTTGGAAACTAAGCACTATGTAGAATGAGCTTGGTAAAAGCCCCAAAGGGCTGACATTTCAAGGCTTCAAATAGTTGTGCAAAGTTGGAACTGGCATGCAGAATACACCCAGTGAAACTTCTGAGCTTTGGGAAAGGGGGAGGGTTTTGTTTTGTTTTGTTTTTTAAAAAACCCTTGACGTTGTCAGTAAGGATGAATGAGCTCCACCCTAAGTCCTTCCCCCCTCCACCTAGATGCGAGTTTGCATATGGTTGCAAAGGACTCTGTCTAAGTTTTGAGCTCTGACTAAGATCATCAGGTCAGGTTGAGGCTCATGGAGCACAGACTGAGTGTGAAAGAGTTATTATTCCCACTCTTCCTGGTTAATAGAAGGGGAAAGACGATGAATCAAGAAAAATAATGAATTCTGTATCTCAGGTAAATCAGGATAAGGAAAACTCTTTGATTTAATGCCATTTGGTAGGTCAGACCGTCCTTAAACAGTTCTTCCTGGTATGCAGTGTGATTGGTGGGGCAGAAGGAATAGCCAGGTGTGAATAGGAACTGGGTGGTCACTTCTGTCTACCAACTCTTCCCTTTCTTCCCCACTCTTCCCACTTCTCTTTTTCACAGACATGTGGTAGAAGCATATATATGCACTTGTACACACAAATAGAGTGTAATGAAGCTAGCTGTTCAGCAGGAGAGGAACACAGCCAGAGCTATGACCTCCTACGTCTTTTAAGAAAGAAGATGGGAATGGCCTGGCTGAGCATACCCTAAACCTGAGGTGGAACATCACCCCTTTTGCTTTAGAGGACACAATTTTTAAATGTGTCATTCACGATTTGAGGGAGCAAACATGACTATCAGTTGTCTGGTCCCTGTCTTACCATTGGCCTTGCTCGGCCTTGCATCATAGTTCCTGTTCGTATGGGTCAAACCTGGATTTTCTGGACTGATTCTAGTACTGAAAAATTCCATTGTTGGAGATCTTTTCTGGCATTACCTATAGGTTCTTGTACTTTTTGATTTTAACATATCCTATCTTAAATATTGACATTTGTCTTTTCACTTTAAAAGGTGAATCAACGGTATAATCTGACCAGCTCTAGATTCACCGAAAAGTGTGTTGTTTCCTGGGGTGAGGGTGGGTGTGAATGTGTCTCAGACACATGTAAGATATGATATGAATAAGGCTGTTGAATAATATCATAGTATAAAACAATTAACACTAAAACATGTTTAATTATTTTGAAAAAACTGAATTTTTCAGAGAGCAAGTACTACATGCCATATATGTTGTGCATTTTAATAACTACAGAATACTGTAATTGGTTTTTTTAAGTGTGATTAGATAATCTATAATTAGAGAATAGCCAGACTTCAACCTGATGCCCTCTAGATCTATTGGATTACAATTCCCATTTATCACCAGTTAGTATTGTCCAATGGTGGGCAATGTAACCCACACATTTGGAGGGCATCTTATTGGGGAAAGAAGTTATAGACACAGCAGGTCCACCTAAGAATCCCTGAACTTCATTATGGGAGAGAGAGCCCACGATCATGTTTCATAATGACATGAACTGAGTATTACAAGAATGTGCTCTATTCTCTAGTCAGTCTTCAGCCAGCTATGCTGCTGTTTTCTTTCTACGGGCTGCCAAACATGATTATCTTTTCAAGAGAAAGAATGGAAACAAAATAAAAATTTAATGGGCAAACATTCCATTTTCAAATAACTGGTCTGGGATCTCTCTCACACACAACATAGAGAATGAGAGGGAGAGAGAGTAGAATTTTCATGTTATTCAACAGAAAAAGAAAATCAAAGCTGTTTCTCCCCTTCCCCTTCACAAGTCTTCTATCATTAAAATCTTGTTCTAACGGCCGAATACTTTTTTTTCATGTGTGTTGGAAAGCAGCTACACCATGTATCAAAGCCATCAGTCCAAGTGAAGGATGGACTACAGGAGGTGCCACTGTCATCATCATAGGAGACAATTTCTTTGATGGGTTACAGGTCATATTCGGCACCATGCTGGTCTGGAGTGAGGTAGGTGTTGTCTGCACATTAATATCCAGTTAACATGGTCTAGTTTATAGACAGCTTTCTTTCTTTTAGGCCCTGTTCTGTTATAGTAACAATGGAAATATTTTACAGTCTCTCTCATTTTGCACAGGGAAGATATTGGAGACACTGGGCCTCATATCAGGTGTTTTTATGCTGTTATCAACATTATGAGTTCCAGCTCCTTCTACTGTTTTAGGCACAATAATCTCTGTGGAAATTCCTATAATCTTTTTTTAAAGGGAGCCACCTGCAAATGAACTACTGGTAGTCTCAAATATCTCAAACACCAGTAACTCACCTTAACCTAATCATGGATTTTCTAATGAACAAGATACTCTTCTTAAACCAGGCATTGACTTTATGCTCCGTATCCATCGGGCTGTTCTTTTATTAATTCAATGCAGCTTTCCATTCTTTTCCCACTGCCCATTAATTTATGGCCTTTATAGAAACTGCTGCAAATCTATGGACATATGTACTACCATCGTAAGTGATGGAGCTGTTGAAATTACTGCTTCCGGTAGCAATTGTATTAATTATAATCAAACCCTGTCATGAAACAAGATTGAAAAATGGCAGGACTCAAAGCAGTTGAATTGTGCATGTGCCAACCTCAATGTGTGTGGTGGAACACTCAACCAAGGCTCTCTCATGCCAGCCTATCCCCATAGTTTGAAAACAGTGAGAGGTGAAAGTCTTCAAGGTTCACTTTACTCTGTTGTGTTAGGCCTTCACGTGCCAATGCACTGAGTTTTCACAATTTCTTTCATTGATTTCTATGGTACCAGAATTAATCTCATAGTAGTTTTGCATTTCTTTCTTTCTTTAAAACAAAAGCTTGCATGAAAGTCGAGTCATCTTGTGTATTTATTTTCCCCTGATGAATATTGTCAAGACATTTAAGTGACAAAAATTTTGTTTTAGAAAACCCAGTACTATTTGCATCTTTCTGCATGGCTGCATCATTTTCACTAGACCCTGAGCTTTCTTGCTGGCCTTTTTTCCCTATATTTTTTAACCCTCTTTATAATGTTGACAAGGGCTGAGACATAAAAGAAAAGAGGCTGCAACACGTTCCCTAATTTCCATTACTGTCCATAAAAAATCAGCTTAGTACCTTTAAAGCAATTTTAAAAGACCTTCATTCAGATTTCCTACTCAAACATAAATCCAATGAGTATTTTGCCTGTACATTTGAGAAAAGAGGAACACAGTCTGAAGTGATCATTTCTGAAATAGTCTTTCTCTTGTAATGTTCAAACTATAAGCAATCTGCAGTGTAAATATTGCAATTTTAATTTATTTTGCATGTATTCAAGCTTTCTAATTGCAGTACTTATAGGCATGAAATGGAAGCTGAGTATTTCTTAAAACTCTTTATGGTGCAAGAATTATTGAAGAAAATAGGTACTTTTTTCTAACACAGCATTTTGAGGACAAGGGATGCATGTTAAATGTGTGGATTTTAAAAATGATTTTGGAAACACATATTTATTATTTAAACATACATTTCAGTTACGGCTCTCTAACATAATTACAACCTTTCTTACTCAGGGAAGTACATTGAAACATAATTTGTCACATTAATTGTGTGCAGAAATACAGATACTTGAGGCTAGGGCTTTCAATTAATCTTCAGCTGCCATAATGAAAATGATTTCTGAAATTATTTGACAACCTTTTTTCCCCAGAAATATAAAGAGGAACAGGTTATGGTTTATTCACTTGTATTAGGTAATTCACACACAAGCAGCAATTGTATATAATTTATACCAATTAAAAAAAAAAACAAATAATTTCATTTCCAAGAATGTGTTATTAACTGAATTGTATCACTCAGATATTTAAGCTATCAGTTGCAAAGAGAGCCAAAGGGTTTAGTTTCAGAAAGACTTCTCCTGATAGTGTAAAAGCTTAGAAGCTGAGATGGCTTTTAATTTATACGGTTAATGGTACAATACTGGTACCCACTCAGTTACTTTGGAGAAAATCCAATTGAACTCAGTGAAATCTCTGATTAGACTGTCATAGGATCCTGCTATAATTTCTCTTTCTCTCTTGTTGTAGTTTTAGAAGAGTTAGCCATGTTAGCCTGTGCTAGCATATTAGGAAAAACTGAAAGAAAAAGGGAAAAAATATAGAAAACAAAATCATGGTGGCATCTTCAAGACTTTAGTTTAATGTGAGCTTTCATGGACAAAAGTGGACTTGTCCACAAAAGTTCACATTAAAATAATAATAGTAATTAGTCTTTAAAGTGCTGAAATATTTTTGTTTCTTCATTTTTTTTTTATTTTAGCTTTCCCTGGTATTCAACTTTTTGGTATCTCTTCTTTGTGTGTGTGTGTGTGCGAGAGGGAGATAGAGAGAGAAGTTTTGTGTTCTTATAATTGTTATAATTATAATTGTTATTATTATAAGTGGCAAATTATAAAGAGTTATAATGCAATTGGCATTAATCTCTGCAGGGAATTGTCAAGTTATGAAGTAAGCATGGACATTTTCTCTTTTGCACCACTTTGCCAAGCTTGGGCCATATTGTTGTTGTTGTTGTTGTTGTTGTTGTTGTTGTTGTTGTTGTTGTTGTTGTTGTTGTTACACACAATATTATAAGCAGTTGCGGATTCCAGAAAAAACAGTAACATCAACAGAACTATAAAGACCAGCAATATTAGGAACAGCATATATACTATGTTGTTATTTAACTGATACTTAGTTTTTTGGTTAAAACTTGTATCTGTTATGTAATACCAGTCAATGTTTTTATAATTTTGAGTGACTGCGCCTGGTATTTTTTAACAACAACAACAACAATAATAAATTCATGAAGGCTTTCACGGCCGGGATCTAATGGTTGTTGTGGGTTTTCCTACACCAGTCCTCTGAAGATGCCGGCCACAGAGACTGGCAAAACATTAGGAAGAACAACCTTCAGAACACGGCCAAAGAGCCCGAAAAACCCACAACAACCATCAGATCCTGGCTGTGAAAGACTTTGGGAATACAATATTATTATTATTATTAATAATAATAGGAATGCCATGAGTTGTGACGATGAGTGCTGGCTTAGGTGGGGATATATCTATCAAAGGCAGATCACATTGAAGGGAGAACCATCCATTCCTGTTGTGGAAGCTTTCCTCCCTCTGAAAACTGTAGGCACTGAGGGAGAGGATTCCAACTTGGGACCATGGAAGAGGATAAGAGAGAAAATTATTGCCTGCTGCATGCTGATTTAGCTCTCCTTGCCATGCACACCTATTTTTTAAAGCAAAAATCAGCTACACAGTGGCAAACTATAAACATTGCCTTTAAACTGGCATTCATTGACAAAAATAGGAGATGGCATGAAAAAGAGAGAGAAAAAACAGGAGAGTCCAATTTAAAAAGTGAACATTCCTGCAGAGAAGACTATTGGGGATATCTATGTTTTTCAAACTCACCTAGTCCTTCCCTGCTCCATCTAAAGCCACTCCTTTCTTGAATGCATCCTCTGGATCAGAAGCTTTTACTTCTGCCTTTTAAAAAGAACTAGAGTTCCCTGAGACTGGACATAAACAGAGAACTCTGGGTTAATTTCAACTTTTAACAATTCATGCCAGAAGAAGGAAGAAGAGAAGGCAGTATAAATCTTACGCCCAATCTCATGCTGAACATATATATTCATATTGAACCATTGGGGATGATTTTAACCTATAGATGGACAAGATAGAAAATATGGAGTAGAAGAGACTGCCAAAATGAAGAGCTTGCATGATGTTTGTGAAACCGAGCTTATTATGCCCATACTGGAAATGCATGCTTTTCCACACATATAGAGAAAAATAAGTAAGGTTATAGGGAATGTCTGAAGTTTTATAGACAGCAGAGGGTTGTTCAATTGCAGCATGGATGAGGTAGTGAAAGAAATGTAGCAAATAAAAACTTTCCCTCCACATTACAAACAACTCTCTGTCTGCGTGTGCATGCATATGTGCAAGGATGCCTGTGCACGTGTGCACATGTGCACATGCACACACACAACAAAAACTTTCTCTCCATATTCCAAACAACTCTCTGTCTGCATGTGCATGCATATGTGCAAGGATGCTTGTGCATGTGTGCACATGTGCACATGCACACACACAAATAAGCATTTCGAGATGGAAATACTCTATAAGAGTGCCTAATAACTACTGTGTTTTACCTATGTAAACGAAGCATGAGCTTTTAACTGGTATTTCACCAGTTAGAAACATTTGAAAGATTTAGTCCTGTCATTAATTGTAACCATCTTGGCCAATTAATCAGCATTCTGCCAGCAAAGGAACAGCCAAAAGAGGTGGTAGCATTGTATGTTAAAGATGAGGGGAGCAGATGAGAATATGTAGGTAAATGCATGTTAAGGAAATTAAAAACAAATTTGCAGCAGATCAGCAGAAGATGGACATTAAAGTTTCTGTACAACTTACAGAAATTCAGAATATGTAAAGCTTTTGAGCAATACCAAATTTGGGACAGAATCCTTCCAGATTTTTAGCTATGTATTGGTGTCCATGTCTCCAGTCATTAATTTTGAGTTACTTTGATTTTTTATTCTAAAACCTTCAATTTTGTGGGTACAAAAATAAGAAAGACATAGACATAGAAAAGAAAATGAAAATGAAGTTTTGAGTCTTCATTTGTGCTGCACTAGCAAACAATACACTACTGATATTTCATTTTATATTAGAAAAACAAGCATTCTAGAGCTTGGAACTAATTTCAGTTCTGTAACATTAAAGACATGGCAGTCACATGGCAAGACTGCACTGCAAGTCTTTGGAAAGGGTGTTTTTGTCTTCTTCTTTAAGAGTCACTATATAGGGTTGCTAGGTCTGAGGCATCAACTGGGGCTTTAGAACTGGGGAACATTTTCCCGGTGGACATTTTAAATGTCTAACCAATCCAACACATCAGGACAAGCATTGTGTATCCCTTGAAACCATCCATGTATGCCTGTTAGGAATGTAGGAGAGGGAGGACCTATTAGATTGAAAGGTTTTTCATTCAAAATTTCAGCTCAGGAAGGAGATGAGGAGGCAGTGTATAGTCATGTGAAAAAGAAAGCACATCTTTTGACTTCTATGGTAATATGCAAATTAGAGCATAATAATAATCATCTGGTCCTTAGCAATTCTGAAAATTAGGCAAATACAACCTCAGAAGAACAAGATATGACATATTACATAGTGTCATGATTTATTTTACAGAAATAAAGCCAAAATGGAGAAACCATGTGTGGAAAACTAAGTACACCCTCGCTGCTTCCATAGGAATTAAGAGGCTAAGTACCAGCCAGGTGCTGTTAACCAAAAACCCTAGAGTCATTGGTCATCAGCAAGTGTAACCACTTCTATAAAAGTCAAAGTCTTAGCGGTTTGCTTGTCTAGAGCATTCAGGTGTGTGTTAGCATAATGCCAAGGAGGAAATATATCAGCAATGATTACAGAGAAACAATTGTTCCTGCCCATCAATCTAGGAAGGGTAATAAGGTCTTTCCAAACAATGTAAAGTCCATCATTCTACACTGAGGAAGACTATTCCGAAGTGGAAAATATTCAAGACACTTGCCAATCTTCTCAGAAGGGGATGTCCAAGAAAATTCACCCCAAGGTCAGATCATGCAATGCTCAGAGAAATTACAAAAACCCTAAGAGTTGCATCTCAAACTCTACAGGCCTCAGTTAGCATGATAAATGTTAAAGTTCACACCAGGACAATTAGAAAGAGACTGAACAAGTATGGTTTATTTGGAAGGGTTGACAGGAGAAAGCCTCTTCTCTCTAAAAAGAACATGGTGGCCCAGCTTAGGTTTGCAAAGTTGCACCTGGTCAAACTACAAGACTTCTGGAACAATGTCCTTTGAACAGACAAGACCAAAGTGGAGATGTTTGGCCCTAATGCACAGCACCACATTTGGTGAAAATCAAACACAGTATATCAACACAAACACCTCATACCAATTGTCAAGTATGGTGGTGGAGGGGTGATGATTTTGGACTTGTTTTGCAGCCACAGGACATGGGCACCTTGCAGTCATTGAGTCAACTATGAACTCCTCTGTATACCAAACTATTCTAGAGTCAAATGTGAGGCTATCTGTCTGACAGCTAAAGCTTGTCTGCTATTGGGTCATGCAACAGGACAATCATCCAAGCACACCAGCAAATCTGGAACAGGAAGACTAAAAAAGAAAAGAATCAAGGTGTTGCAATGGATTAGTCAAAAGCCAGACCTGAACCTGATTGAAATGCTGTGGTGGGATCTTAAGAGAGTTGTGCATAAACAAATGCCTGCAACCCTCATTAAACTGAAGCAACACTGTAAAGACAAATGGGCCAGAATTCCTCCACAAAGATGTGAGAGACCGATGAAGCCGTACATAAAACAATTATTTCAAGTTATTGTTGCTAAAGGTGGTTCAACAAGCTATTGCTTCATTTTTCACATATGGCTTCCCCATTTTGGCTTTATTTCTATAAAATAGATCAGCACACAGTGTAATATGTTATGTGTTGTTGTTCATCTGAGGTTGTATTTACCTAATTTTCAGACCTGCTAAGGACCAGATAATTTTTATTATGTCCTGATAAAACCATAGAATACAAAGAGGGTGCACTTTCTTTTTCACATGACCGTCTATCCAATGCCAGTGCTTAGAATTAATATATTAATATTACATTCTTTTTTTAAAATTAAACGTTCCAAACTCTTGTCCATCACATGTCATATTGCCCCAGATTTCAGATTACAGTATACTAATTTACAGAGAGAAATGAAATAAATGTTATCTGTTCAGTGTGAAACTTCAGAAGAAACGGCAATCGGCCTGGACAAAATACTGCATTAGTACTGTACTTTTTAAACTATAGTTTCTGTTTAAACTTACTTTAAAAGGTTGAGGGACAGTGTTTGACCACTCTAGCTGCCTAGAGTGACTAACGAAATGACTAGATAGCCTAGAGTGGCTATCGAAACGACCAGATAGGCGGGGTATAAATAAAATAAATAAATGCATAAATAAATAACATTTTTGAGGAACCATCCAGCAAATCCGCGAAACTCTTGCCAACCTTAACTCAGCTTCTTCATGGAAACCAGCATGTTTTTACTGGGAAATCCATGAAATAGTATTGAAAGAGAAGTAAATTGATGGCAGACCTTATGCATGCTGTGAAGAGGCAATATAAACGCATGCATGCATGCATGCACATGCACCCCTGCGTGCACGCACACACGCACATATACACACACACGGCAGAATAAATCTGAACCTACTGGAGCTGCCATAAATTGAGCACCATTCGCCACTGTAACCCAATATTGCCTCCTCTGACTGGCCACAACTCTCCAGGGTGTCAAACAGAGAGGGAGAAGCTTAGTCCTACTATCTGAGAGCTCTTTATTCTATAGGTAAGGAACTTAACCTGGACCTCTTCAGTTATGCCCCAGTCTTTCTCAGGCTTGAGGCTTCTTTGGGCAGAGCAATCCTACTCAGAGATCAAAACATTATATATATATATTTAACTCAATTTCCCAGAAATCCCCAACAACATGGTCTTACTGGGTCCTGGAGCCCCAAAGGGTAGCTTTTCTCATCTCTTATCTTACTCTACACTAGAGTGATAGGGCAGAGGACATAACAGCTTGTGGAACAAGCATCACATCCTGTGCCTCATTGTTCTGCTCTCGATGAGATGCAAGATACAAGGCAGGGTGTTTTGTTTTGTTTTTGCTTCCCACTGACAGCAACTGGAAGGAATTAATTGTGCCAACCCCCGGGGGTTGTATACAATCACATCACTTCCTGAAGCATGTTTGATGAAGAAAGAGTTATAACATACAGTATCTTCATAATAGATACACATGCACACAACCACTGGCATATCTTTTACTCTCTCTGGTAGTAAAACACCTACCCCTGCAGAGCTTGCAACAGCACGTAGTTTGGTACAGCAGGATAAGTTTCCTAAGACTTTTTCTTCTTTGGATTGATCTAATTTGGAATAGGGCATATTTTTATTCATTTCCTTATTATTAGTTCAATGGAATAACCATGTAAGTTGTATCTAATTTAACAAAAAGATGAATAATTGAAAGGTTGTATACTTCAGGGTTCTGATATTGATTATTTTGAAAGAGCAAGGCAAGAACAAATGTCTGTAAAATTTTAAAAAAACTAGTCAAAATTTAAAATGTATACAATCATATTGAAAAGGTTGTAGAGAAATGTCACTTTTTCTTTTAAGGAACATAGTTCAAGAAACTATAAAATCAGTTTGATTTTTAAAAGTATTGCATGTAAGTGAATGGAAAAAAACAGGTTTAATGGGAAAATATCTAAAAGCCTATTATGTTGTATTACTTGACTTAACATAATATTAATAAGTTTGTGGCACAGTCTAACCAGATAAGAAGATACACAGATTTCAATCGGAGAGTCATTCTTCCATTGACATCAATAAAGCTTAAAAGGAATTTACTTTAGGGAGATGATTCTTTGTGACATGAAGTCCATATCAAATCTTGGATGTTTGGAATTTTCTACAAGTTTTCAGTAATGCACTAAGGAAGGTGTAGATGCCAAAATCCAGATGGAAATCTTTTGGGATTCATGAATATAAAAGTAGCAAATTGCATTCAAATGTTGCAGCATGTCACAAGCAATTTTCATACCCAGAAGTAAATGCCTGCCATGTATGAAAACAGAGTTAATATTATTATGGCTGGGAAGATGAGCACTTGCAAATATTGTTGTCATTGGCTTTTATGCTGGTTACGTCAAGAATACATTTAAACACTGACAGGTTAATTACATGTTCCAACGCTTTGTTTATGTGATCTGACAAGAATGTGTTATTAAAGAACTATTCTGCATCTAACAGATTTCCTCCCTTATATTTTCTTCTAGCTTATTACGCCTCATGCAATCAGAGTTCAGACACCGCCCCGACATATCCCTGGTGTGGTTGAAGTTACATTGTCCTACAAATCTAAGCAGTTCTGTAAGGGTACACCCGGAAGATTCATCTATACGGGTAAGGATGCTTTAATTTTCAAACATAATAGAATGGAAGGGAAGGGAAAGTATCCTTCTCTCACCTTTGTGAACACTGAGTGCTGTCCTCTGAAGATGCCAGCCACAGAGACTGGTGAAACGTTAGGAAGAACAACCTTCAGAACATGGCCAAAGAGCCTGAAAAACCCACAACAACTATTATTGGGATGTTTTACCAGATTAAAACAGATTCTTCCACCACAGGATCCCTCCTCCTTTTACCATATGATGATATTTATATGAACATGGACCTTGCACAACACTGAACCATGTATACCATTAGAAGATCTTTCAGTGATGTGCTGGCTGGCTGGCTTGATTATAAATTGGGCCCTTTCTCAGTTCCACAGGTTAGATGAATGAAGAAGGTTATCGGGACCTAGAAACAAAACCACAGTTGTATGAAATGGTTCTAGTGTGGTTCCTGATATTTTTAAGACATAAAGAGAAAACCATGATCATGGTATTTTCATAATAGAAATGAGGGTTATTTTGTTTATTTATCTGTATCATATTTCCCCACCAAGTGATGCTTAGAGTTCCCAGTATCAGTGCGTTAAATAAAATAAAGTATAACTGAAGAGGATTAAACCAATTGAAATCCTGCACTTAATCAATTACGGTGAAGTTCAAGGAGATTACAGCAGAAATCTCACAGCCTCATTTTTGGGGCACAGCAGAATTATATGTTCCATAGAGAGGCATTCACCATTGCTGCATATATTTTGCTAATCTGTTCCTTGCACTGCTTAAAAAACTAGACAGGGTAAGTTGTGAGCATACATGCGACAGGCCTCCTCTTACTACATTCTCAAACTCTCTACATTCTTAAGCTATAGAAAGTGCAGAACACTATGCATTATAAATTTGCATGTAGGATCCAAAGCTATCTCTGCAATATGTTAAATTCAGCCCAAAATCTTTGCCAAATGGTGACACATCCATAAAATTATAACTAAAAGCTGAAAAAGATGGTATTTCATTAGAATATAGTCACTGGCTGAAATTCTCTAGAGGTGGCTATATCTGTGGGAGAGTGATAATGTCAAACAAAGATTCTCAATGATGGAAGAGTTCTACTTTTTTTCTGTGGCTTTTCTGATTTCCAGATAATCTGTTTCAACACTTGGAAACCATGCAAGCCTCAGGACGAGAGGAGGAAGTCTTTCATTATCACAAATTTCAGTAAAGTGATCTGGTAGTGGCAATCTTTGGTAATGGTAAAGACTTTCTCCTCCTGTCTAGCGGCTTGCATGTGATGAAAGGGATTATTTGCAAGCCTTAAAAGTTGGGGGAGAGAAGGAAAAGTCTTTCACTACTGAGAAGCTTCATCACCATCATCTTTCTGCAATATTTCAGCTGGTAGATGCTGTTTCCTTTTATCACTGCAATCTCATGTGGTTTTTTCAGGTGTATGTTTATTCTTCTGGAACTTGTTTTCAGATATGCATGTATAAGATTATAATTTTATATTTATTTATCTGGAAGTAAGTACAACTTAATAGAACTGACCTCAAAATACAGACATCATTTTCATAGGATGCTCTCAGAGCAGTGTTCTTGCCTTACCAGAGGGTTGTTGTGTTGATAAAATAGAGGGAGGAGAACCATGTATACCCCCTAGCTCTTATTGGAGGAAAGATGGGAATACAAATAACTGACAGATATCCACTATCTGTCAGTTACAAATATCTGACAGATAGTGGATATTCATTCCCCTCCAGTACCAGAAACAGTCTTTCTCCTTGTTTCATCTGCGAAGGAGCATGAGTGAGGGGAAGCGAGATGCTATTGCACTTATATTCTGATTGTGCACTTTTTATGGGCAACTAATTGACCACTGTGTGAACCGGATGCAACTTTATATATGGGGAAAGATTACAAATGGCCTTGAGGATGCACACTTGGTCCACCTCTGCTTGTACATCACTGTTTGTGAAGTGCTTGTGAAATGCTTGGAGCAAGCCATTGTGCTTGGCAGCCATTTCTACAAGCAGAATGCATTATATTAAAAGAAAAACAAAAGCCACAGTGTATTGTTATTTACTCCACTGGCATTTTTACAGCTTTCCAAATTGACACAATGGGCTCAGGCTCAGTCTTAGAGATGCTGAGAGTAGGCTTGTTCGAACCAGCCTGACTTATTAGTCATCACAAGTTGATGACCCATTGGTTTCAGTGACTTTAGTTTGAGAATGATAAATTCAGCATCCAGCTCAATGGACTGAATGTAGATTGTGTAGGATTAGTATTTAAAACAAACTGAAAACAATTAACAATAAGCAACAAATCATAAACCCATCCATCCCAGACAACATTAAACATCAACAAAGAAGACATATATCATATATCCAAAATTCTGAAACATAGTAATCCTAGTTGATTCTAGTGGATCTAATTTGAGTCAGACATGCTTCTTCACCATCCACAACATCCACATTTGATAAAATAGCCATCTGTTCTTTCTCTCCATTGTCCTACCGCCTTTTTACTCCTCTTTTCTTCACATTTTTACGTTGTTCTTCACCTCTTTTAAATTGACTTTCCTGGCTTAAATCCTAGCCTGCAAATTATTCCATCGTGGGTTTGAATTTTCATATATTTCAGGACCTGTGTTGAATTTTCCTGTACTGTAGTTGATTGCCTGGACCCATTGAAAGCAGTAGCGTTTGGCCATGACTAACTTTGTAGGGTCATTCCAATTTTCAAAAAGATGTTCAAGTAAAGTGAAGGGTATGAGGGCTGTGGTTATATTAAAAGAAAAACGAAAGCCACAGTGTATTGTTATTTACTCCACTGGCATTTTTACAGCTTTCCAAATTGACACAAAGGGCTCAGGCTCAGTCTTAGAGATGCTGAGAGTAGGCTTGTTCGAACCAGCCTGACTTATTAGTCATCACAAGTTGATGACCCATTGGTTTCAGTGACTTTAGTTTGAGAATGATAAATTCAGCATCCAGCTCAATGGACTGAATGTAGATTGTGTAGGATTAGTACTTGAAGACTTTACCCTTTTACAGTAGAAGTGTCACCTGCTGAAACATAGTAATCCTAGTTGATTCTAGTGGATCTAATTTGAGTCAGACATGCTTCTTCACCATCCACAACATCCACATTTGATAAAATAGCCATCTGTTCTTTCTCTCCAAGTGATTCAGTATGACAATTTTCATTTCCTTTCTCTGCCCTCCATGGCCTACATTGTCCTACCGCCTTTTTACTCCTCTTTTCTTCACATTTTTACGTTGTTCTTCACCTCTTTTAAATTGACTTTCCTGGCTTAAATCCTAGCCTGCAAATTATTCCATCGTGGGTTTGAATTTTCATATATTTCAGGACCTGTGTTGAATTTTCCTGTACTGTAGTTGATTGCCTGGACCCATTGAAAGCAGTAGCGTTTGGCCATGACTAACTTTGTAGGGTCATTCCAATTTTCAAAAAGATGTTCAAGTAAAGTGAAGGGTATGAGGGCTGTGGAGGTTAGTTGTACTGTGTACTGCGCTTTTATCATCACAGAGAAAATATCTAAATAATCTAGATTAAACAATTCTTTTAGTTTACAAAATGTAGCATTGCATATCCGTATGTGCCCCCTCCTCCAGAAAAACCTATCACCTTCAGAAATGCCTCCAGGCCCTTCAAACATCATGTAGGATTGGAGTAAGCCTGCCGATCAGTTTTAGTTAATTGAAAATTATAGGATTGACCCAAGAGGAAAATTTCGTTTGCACTCCAATCACTATTACAAATTAAGGAAAATTACTACAATTTAGCTAAGGTTTCACACTGAGTTCACAAAATTAGCTCAGCTGCCCTGACAAAGTCAGCATGTTTTATTTTTTAAGTGATCATGAAAAGGAGGGGAAATAATAGACTGTGGTGTGTACAAACGAAGCATAGAGAAAGCTATGATGCTTTACAGAACTAGGACAAGTGGTTTTAATTAGGATTATTAGTTCATTGTAAATTTTGAAGAACAATCAAACTAGCAGATTAGTTGTTTCATTTAAAGCTAGAATTTCTTGCCATTCATTTTTCCCATGAGAACTTCTTTAAACTCCCACATAGCCCTTAAAAAAGAGAGAGAGATTAAAAATTAAAAAACAAGGTCTTGTTTGGGAAATGGACCCATTGGAAGTTCTGATACTATAACATTCCACAGCAGCGTTCCAGTAGATGGGAGCTTTTCCACAGTGTTTGTCAGTGAATTCAGTGTTCTGGAACGTTTTACAAAACCACAGAGGCCAAATGTTTTCTCAGAGGAGTTTGGCCTGTGTTTTTGGCTGAAAACAGTGAGGCATCACTTGGTGTTTATTTACTCTGCAATTGAGAATGAGGAAAAAAAAGAGGACAGAAGAGGAAAGAAAAGAGGAAAGAGAACTGGGGCTTATAGGTGACTCAAAAGCCATTCAGGCATGCTTTCCTCTCTGGTGAAAACGTCTTATCCATTAATGGCCCCATTTTGTGGTTAGGTCTCATTTAGAAGAAATTATTTTTAATCGGCATTCAGCAAAATATCCCCTCAAGCCACCTGGCTGTAAACTGATTTTTCCCCTCCCCTTACTGTTAAGTACTTAAATTCTCTGAAGAAAACGCCTGGTGACCCATTAATTTTGGGTTCTTTTTTTTTCTCTCCCACCTGCTTTTAACTGCCAACAACTTAGAAATTTGATCTGTGAATGCACGTTCCCTCAATGAATCAACATCTTGTACGCAGGGAGAAATGTTAAGGTTTATAAAATGAGTTGTAAGAACTACATTAATATGATCGTCACTGAAAAATCTTATAATATTTTCTTGCTTTTTCCTGTGAAAGCATTTCACAGATAGCCACTTGGGGCGGGGGAGAAAGGTAAATAACATTTGTCTTTCAGTCCTTTTTGAACTGTTTTCTGACTGGATAGCTCCGTGAGTTAGGGGAACCGGAGGCTGGGAGTTTGTTGCCTGCTGTGCCTACCCAGAGAAGAGCCAGCCTGTATG